TTTTTTTTTAAGCTTTATTTATTTTTATTGCAAAGTCAGATGTACAGAAAGGAGGAGAGACAGAGAGGAAGATCCTCCGTCCAATGATTCACTCCCCAAGTGACTGCAACGGCTTGTACTGCACCGATCCGAAGCTGGGAACCAGGAGCCTCTTCCGGGTCTCCCACACGGGTGCAGGGTCCCAAAGCTTTGGGCTGTCTTCCACTGCTTTCCCAGGCCACAAGCAGGGAGCTGTATGGGAAGCGGGGCCGCCGGGATTAGAACCGGTGCCCATATGGGTTCCTGGCACTGAGGACTTTAGCCACTAGGCCAGCTGCCGGACCCTACACTAGGTTGTTCAATTCATTCATCTCTATTAGTGTTTTTTGTTTCTAGTGTTTTGCTTTGATTGCCTCTTAGAACTTCTGTCTGCACTTAGATTATCCACTTATTTTTGCATCTTGTCTACTTTTTCTCTTGGAACCCTTAACATGTTAATTTCAGTTGTTTTGAATTACTGGTAAGATAATTCTCTACCAAATCGGAGTCTGGTTGAGATGTTTGCTGTTTCTCTTCAAGTTGCATTTTTACTTTTTATTGTTTGGATCCACATATGTTGTAATTTTCTACTGAAAATTACACAAAGTGTACTATGTAAAAAGAACTGGCATATAAGCTTTTTCTATGAGAGCCTATGTTTCCTGGCTAGAAGTTCAACCATGTTTACCACTATAGGTGCCTAAGGCTGATGCTTCCTCTGGTGTTTGCTTTTGTCCCCTGTCATTTTATGGCTTCTCTAGATACTTGTTCTTAAGTAAAGTCTGCTATGTATAGTTCTTCCCAATAGGAGTCATATTAATGCTGTCCTGGAGTGTGGAGGAGGTATGGTGTTCTCTACTCCCTTAATTAGCTTTCAGACCTTTAATGAATTTTTGTACATCTGGTGTTTGTTTCTTAAATACTACTCAGCTCTTACACTGCAACCCTGTGAGACAGGAAGTCTACAGGTGGGTGTTTCCTTCACCTACACAGAAGATTCGAGTAGATGAGGACTGAGTATTTCATTTCCCCTAGGTTGGATAGGCTCCTAGTAAAATTCAAGTCAGGTAGGCTCTGATAAAAAAATAGTTGTCCTTGAGGGCGGTGTAGTAATTTGTAGTGGCTGCCTTAACAAAGCTCCATGAATGGAAGCTTCAAAGTTTTGGATGCTAGAGGTATGAGATGAAGTAGTTAGCAGGTTAGCGTCTTCTGAGAATTATGTGGTGGATCTGGTTCATGCCTTGTCCCCAGCTTCTGATGGTGTGCTGGCATTCCTTGACTGATAAAGTCATCACACTCATCTTAGCCTCTATCTTTGTGTGGTGTGCTTGTGCATAAAGGGGTGCCTTCCTATTGGGGCGTTCAGCATATTGGCTCAAAGGCACACCCTGTCCCATTGGAGCCATGTTCTAACTTTAGTCATTACATCTGCAAACACTCCTGTTCTTTCCAAATTAGGCCACATTTTGAAGTACCAAGGGTTAGTACTTCATCATATGGATTTGAGAGGAATGTACTTTACCCCATCACAGCAGGCTTTGTTAGGAAGAACAGAAAGTTCTGGCCTGTTTCAGAATGTAAAATTCAGAATGGGCTACCTCTTTCCCCCGATGGAAGTATGAGGGAGGAAATTTTTCTCTTATTTTCATAGTGAGAACTTGGTAGGCCTCCTGGAGGTAAATTCCAGAAAGTGTGGGAATCCTCATAAGACTGTTCTCCCCTAGAATCTTCATTTAAATAAAACCTCCAGAGAGAATCATTCTCTTGACTCTTATGTGTTATGATATATTTGAGCTCTAAATCTACAAGATATTGAGGAATCCTTCAACCGTGTGCTACCACTTGCAAGGACTAACTATATGGGAATGAGCAGAGAATTCAAGCACACAGCCTAAGAGGTCAAAATAAGTCATGAAAGAGATGTGACATGCTTCTCTGTAGAGATGTGGAAGAGTAGTCTAGGTTGGTTCATTTGTGTGCAATTTCTAGAGGCCAAAGGAAGCACTGCATCAGCTTTTTAAATTCCAGTGGCTCACTTTCCTTGTCAGGTATTAGGAAGTCTGAATTTGAGAATCATTTTAATGTGAATGTGTACTGTTGTCCTTTCCCAGAAATGACCTGTGTACAAAGACTGTATTTTAAACTGACACAACTTGAGAGAAGTGGGCATATTTTCCAACCTGAATTTTGGGGTGTTTAGTATGTAAGTGTATTATATCCTATGTATGTATTATATATACAACTAAATATACACACACATATATATTATTGCTTTAAAATTAATGAAAGAAAGTGTATGTGTGCCTTGGGAAAGTCTTTCTTAGCTATATATTTAAATGTGTATATCCTGGTAGGCAGGGCTGTTATTAGAGATTCCCAGAAGAGTAGATGTTTAGATCTGAAATACATAATTTTGACAGCTATTAAAGTCAGCAGTGAGAATGTGGTAAAGCAGGTAACTAATAGAAGACTGACCAAAATAGCTGTGGGAAAGAGGTATAACAAATTGTATTTATGTGCAAGACTAATAAACAACAATCAGAAATGGATGTAAATTCATTAATGCTACAGCTTATTTATTAAAGTTTTGATTATGTTCATGTTGCCTGACAAATTTCCCATTAGATATAATATTTCCCTCACAAATGAGTCAAAATGTATTCATTTGGGTGATTTGCTGGGTTTGATGCATATTCACATCTTCAGTCCTTGTAAATGGTTTTGTCAATAAATGTTCTGGAAGGAATTAAGTAGTGTGATTCATGTGCAGATGCTTAGGTCTGATCTTAATTTGCTTTGTTGCTTGCATCTGTAATGTGTATTAGCAAAAGTCTGACTTAGATGCAACACTAACAACAACAACAATTGGCATAGGCCTCTGGAAGATACACTGGCTCCCCACTGGTTAACATAGATCCCCAATCTCTAAAGACACCGGCCAATCCTTCTGATATCAAACAGGAGTAACCAAACAGCTTTGGTCACCAAAGGGGGAGATAAATTTTTTCACACCAACCATTTATCCAGTGCATAGTAATTGAATGTCCTACAGTTTAACATAATTGTAATTAACAAAATCTGCTGATTACAAGCAGCTCTCTAAACCCTTTTCCTGGGTTTTTATGTGGGCTTTGTTATGTAGGAATGGCTGATTACATCATTGGCCTGCTGATGGTCCATTCAGCCTTCTGTCCCTCTAGGAATTGTGTGCCAGGAACCAGGGTAGAGATGGAATATCTTATTAGATTACAATTTCACAGAGACACATAGTAAATTACCAGTTTCCCTGGACTTTTCCTGTGCATTTAATCATTTCTCCATATGGAACTTTCTGACAGGATTTATTGTGAGCTTTCTCTGACTTTATGGCTGTAGTCCCTGTAATTCTCACCCCCTGTATACTGCTTCCCGATGATTGAAGGCAGTCCTGTGTGCTGTTTCCAGACAGTTCACTTGCATGCAGGGACTGCTTACTGAACACTATGCAGTGTGTGCCAAGACTGTGCCAAGCCTGGAAGGACAGAGATGTACACAATATGGTCTTTGCTCATGAAGCTGATTGTGGAGTTAGGGATAGATACTGTGATGGGTTATTTTCAAGGTATGTGGTATTAAGTAAGATAGTGACATGCAGAGGGAATACTAGGTCAATTCATACAATTCTGTATTAAAGGCAATTGTGTGGTATTTTCTTCCACCAAAAGAGTTGAAAACTTCATTTTTCAAAATCACAGCCAATGTGAGGATATTGTACCTTAACCTACCTACAAATGCTGAAAGCCCTCTATGGCACAACTTAACTTAGTTATCACTGGAACGCTAATCAGTGTAAAGTATCTCAAAACTTTAGTTTAAGGAAATTCTTCCAAGGTCTAAATTTAGTCCCTCCATCTGTAATTCAGCCCTCTTGTTAGTGAAAACAGAAGTGCTACTTCACTATCATTTGTAGATTAATTGTAAAAACCAGTCTTTTCTCTGGAGCCCAGAGAGTCCCATGCTATAACTAGTGGTGTCGTGGTGGCAGGTGTGCTTGGAGATTGATCCCCTCAGGTCCTGAGGCAGCAGAGTGTCTAGTGAGCAATCCTCCCTCACTCCACTGGACCATATTAATTATGATCCTTTATGTGTCATGACATGAGAAAAGCTGGAAACTGCTAATGTGGAACATCTGCCTGAATCTCTTCAGAAGGCCATATTTCCAGTCACTTTTATTTCTTATTAACCCTATTCTAGTTCTTTTAGGAAAGGAACTTTCATTGAACAATTCTAAGAGAAGGTAGAAATGACTTCATGTAAAGCAAAACAGAAGACGATTCTTAGGTCTCCACTGAGCAGGAGTTGTGTTTTCTAAAAGGTTCCTTTTGGCCAAGAGTAATTGTGCGCTCAGCATTATGAAATGAAGACTCTAGTTGGAGAGTTTTGTTAGGCATTATGACCAGCGGGCTTTGTGAGTGCCTGGCATTCAGAGCAAATAATTGAAGATTATTTTGTATTATTATTCATCATTTTTTGTTTTAACAGCAACAGAAATATTTTAGCCATTACAAGATACTGGTTGACTTTAAAAAAAAAAATCTCAGTGAGAAGATACATGGTGTCTGCTCCAAAAGAATTTGTTGTCTGTCAGAGAAAACAGATGGCTGAAGAAGTAGATGGCTGTTGACACTGGAGCGTGATTTTGTGTATATAAAATCACTCATGGGCCAAATTATTTAGACTGAATCGGGTCCTGTTTCTTTTGGGGGAAAAAATGTAATTTTGGTATCATTTAAAAGAGTTCTTAATTATATAGTGTAAATTGAGAAATATTTCAATTTGGAATACCTATAATTTAATGCATAGTTCACCTAAAGAACCTGAGTGGCGGTATTTTCAGTTTACATTTTTACTTCACCAAAAGGTAGTCTTGTTTTTGACATAATGTACTTTTTACTCTGTAGCCTTTAATTATAGATGTACTCTCTTGCCTTTAACATTTTCAGGGAAGGTATTCATGTAGATCGAGAATTGCTGCAAATATCTCCCAGTATTACAGAGCAGTTCATCGAGCTGTTGTGTCAGTTCAGCCCAGACCAGGTTATAGAGACCCTGCAAGTCCTTGAGTGCTACCGCCTAGAGGAAACTATTCAGGTAAGACTGATGATGTAGAAGAGACAGAATAAACCTTTTTTTTTTTAAGGGTTTATTTTATTTTTATTGGAAAGGCGGATATACAGAGAGGAGAGACAGAGAGGAAGATCTTCCCTTCGATGATTCACTCCCCAAGTGAGCCCAACAGCCGGTGCTGCGCCAGGCCAAAGCCAGGAGCCTCTTTCGGGTCTCTCACGCAGGTGCAGGGTTCCAAAGCTTTGGGCCGTCCTCGACTGCTTTCCCAGGCCACAGGCAGGGAGCTGGATGGGAAGCAGGGCTGCCGGGATTAGAACCGGCGCCCATATGGGATCCCGGGCATGCAGGGCGAGGACCTTAACCACTGCGCCACTGCGCCGGGCCCAGACAGAATAAACTTTTTTCAGAGCATTCTCTAGTTGACAGATGAATGCTAAGATGCTCATGTATAAACTTACTTCTGTCAATTTGTAACTAATTAGTGCCCAAGTTGGAGCCCAGACTGACTTCATATTTAATGCTCTTAATTGCTATAATAAAGTGCTTTCCTATCTGTGCCATTAAAGTCAGAAACAACACATGTCCAGAGCTGTTACTAGCCAAGCTTTATTGAAATTCTAGCCAACACACCAAGCCGAGGGAAAGGAGCACAATAATCACGTTGAGCCTGGAGAAAGGAACACAGTAACATTGCTGAAAGGATCCGATCAGGCTCTTGTTTACAGACACTGGTGATTAGTCCTGTTGCTGTCTGAAGGCTAAGAGGCTAGATAGCAGTATAGCGGCTTTAGCACCCATGTTGTCGTAATTTTCCTCTTGTTTTCTCTTGTGCCAAATGAAAACATGTATATGGGTATACCTGTGTATGTGCACAACACACACGTAAGTAGATACTATAATCAGTAAAAGACTAGTGTGTTCCCTGCTTGAAATTTAATTTGTAATCTACCATTGCATTTCTTTTTCTCTGCCTGCAACACAGTTGAAGCAGTAGCCTATATTTTCTGCATCCACCTCTTGATGTGCCCACATACTTCAAAAACTGTTTAATTATGGAATATTTAAAGTGTATAGAAATGTGCAGGCCATTGAATCCATATGTACCCATCAAGACAATTTTGTAACCGTTAAAGCTTTACCAAACTGGCTTCAGATCTGTGTTGGTTGTTTCTGACCCCCTGCTTTCCCCTGATGTCATACCCAACCTAAAACTCCAGTTTATCCATCCAGTCGGTGTTTCATTATGTCTTTATATGTATACACCCATCAAATCCTTCATACACGTTATACATTTTTTAAAAAAAATCTTTTAATAACATCATAAAGTACATATCCTATTTCAAACAGTTTTTTTTTCACTAAATTTCTAAGTTTGTATATTGGTAGGTCTACTTCACTCATGTTGCTAGTTATATAACAGTCTATTAAATGAATAAACCAGCTTATTTATTTGTTGGTGATAGATAATTAGGTTTCCAATCTTACTATTGTAACCAATTCTATAGACAAATTTCCTATACATATCTTTGGCCGGCCATATGAGGTTTCTCTAAGTGATACCTGGAAATGGGATTGGTTACATAGTAAAATAAAATGCTTTTTTGCTGGTTATTGCCAAGTTGATTAGCAAAGTATATGTGTGTCTGTGTGTGTTTCTTTCCTTAAATAATAATTTTTTTCTTAATTTGAAAGGCATATTTATACAGAAGGACACACAGAGAGAAAGATCATCTTTTTGTTGGTTCACTCCCCAAACGGCTTCAAGGGCCTGACCTGAGGCAATCTGAAGCCAGGAGCTTCTTCCGGCTCTCCCACATGGGTCATGGCTACAGGATCCCAAAGCTTTGGACCATCTTCCCCTGCTTTTCTAGACCACAGGCATGGAACTGGATAGCAAGTGGAGCAGCTAAGACACAATCAGCACCATATGGGATGCCAAATCTTGCAGGTTATTTTAGCCTCTTGAGCTATGGTACCAGCTCTGATCCCTAATATTTTTAGACCTCACTTTTGCCAGTGTGATGGCTGCCGTTGATTACTTGTGGCACAGACATCTTTACATATATACATACATATACATATGCAAAAATGTATGAATATATAATACTTTTTGGATTGGATTTTCTTTTCTCTGAATAATTGATTTATATCATTTTCCCATTGTTTATTTCATTGAGTTTTCTCCCTCTTCTGATTGAGTTCTCCCTAATTTCTGGATTGGCAATCCTTTCTGGTTTTATGTGTTAGAAATGCCTTTTTCTAATCTATTGTGGTACATCTTTTAACTTCATTGCTAGTAGCTTTTAAATATATCAATCTTCCTTTAAAATTGAAGTTTCTGTGTCTAAATATCCTTTCCTATTTTGTTGGCTCATAAGGTATTTTTTACATAAAATCTATACCTTCTCACAGTTCGGCTTTTAAACCCATCTGGAATTTGTCTTTGTAGACTGATGAAGAGAAGGTTTTATAACTTTTCCCCACATGATGGCTAATGGTCTGTGTGGCATTTTATTGTCCTTTCCTCACTCATTTTTGATGCTGTCTGGCCGTATACCACATCCCTAAATACACATGCTTTGGTTACTTATGTTTCCCTACACCAAGATTACATATTTTAATACGGCTTCCCATAGGCTTATTTGAAATATAAGAACGCTCTGATTTAAAAATACAATAAATTTCCAGGTTAGCTCTAGGAGGATTCAAGTCTCCTGTGATATTGAGTCTTCACAGACAAGAACAGGGTAGCCTTTAGAAAATGACTTTTATACTCTTCATGAAGTTTTATAACTTTTTTTTAAGATTCCTGCACATATTTTATTAAATGTGTCCCCAGATATTCTGCAATTCTTGGTAACATTGTTCAAGGGTTTTTTTTGAATATTTAAGTTAGTTGCTGCTGCTGTATTTGAATGTTAACTCATTTTTGCATATTGATTTTTGCCTAGCAACAAGGGTGAATTCGTGTATCGTTCAAGAAGTGTGTGTGTTTTTGTGACAATACTTTCCAAAAGTATTTTTTTTTTTAATTTTGGCTTGTTTTGTTTTTCATCCCCAACTTATACTTTGATTTTTCTGTTACCTGTCTGGTGTTCCAGGCTCTTTATTAAGCAGCAACAATATACAGGTCCCAGCCTTGTTCATGATTTTAAAAGGACTGTATCTAATATTTCACCTGCAGCAGTGTTCTTGCAGGATTTTGATGTACAATTTATTCTGTCCAGAGAGTTGATTCCTGATTTAGATCAGAGTGTTTTGTTTTAGATTTTATCATGAGTAGGTGCTGGATTTTAGTAGCTGCTTTTCTTGCATTTATCGAGATGTTCACCTGTTTTCTCCTTCGATCAGTTAGCCTGTTAACATGTTATTTCTGCCTTTTATTTTTGCTTGCTTCTAAGGATGTTTTTCTGTTATGTTTATCTTTTCAAAGAGGATACATTAGAGTTTGTTAAACCTACTATTGTTTGCTTTCTTTCATTTTCTGTACTGCTTTCCTGTTTTTGATCTTTTAGATTTTTCTAATTAGAAATTCCTAGTTTATTGACTGTTAATCAACATTCCACCAATGATCTGTAGTGTTTTCATCATCATTTTTTGCTAAATATTGTGTGTAGTTATACTTGATCGATATTTATTTGATTGTTGTTTATGTGAATGTGTTAGCTTTTCTCAAGTGGTCAGAACTCATTGAAGTATATAACACTTTATTTTTAAATAAATTAGAGCAAAAAGAATTGATTTTGCTTCATGTAACATTTTTAGATGCACTTTTGGAAAGCTAGAAGGTCAAGTATTTGCATATTCTGTAAATAACATGCCACTGAAGTATGACTTTATTATTTACTGTATTTGCTGTATCTTCATCTTCAGTACGATCTTCTCACTCACAAATATGCATCTTCCTTTCTAGATTACTCAGAAGTATCAGCTTCATGAGGTCACTGCATATCTTTTGGAAAAGAAAGGAGATATTCATGGTGCCTTTTTAATAATGCTAGAGGTAACATTTTGCTGCATTTATTTTGTTGTGTTTCTGTCTGTTACTCTATTCATTCATCATCCTATCTAAATGTATTTTGTTACAAGGTAAGTTGCAGACAACACTACATTTGATACCTATGTATTTCAATTAAAATTTTTAAAAATTTATTTTTCTTGGAAAAGCAGATTTACAGAGAGGAGGAGATACAGAGAGAAGGTGATAGAGAGAGAAAGAAATGCCATCTGCCGGTTCACTCCCCAAATGGCCACAGTGGTTGAGGCTGAGCCAGTCAGAAGCCAGGAGCCAGAAACTTCTGCTGGGTTTCTCATGTTGGTGCAGGGTCCCAAGCCTTGGGCCATCCTCTACTGCTTTCCCAGGCTATAACATGAACCAGCACCTGTACGGTGTCCCAGTGCATGCAAGGTGAGAATTTAACCACTGAACCATCACACCGGGCCAGATACTTAAGTATTTTTATCATGCATAGCACTGACTAGATTTTGGTGTTTCTATGTACTTTGTTTAAATGTTTTATTTGTTTGAAAGACAGAAGGGCAGAGAGGGAGCACCCATCCTCTGATTTACTCCCCAAATGCCTAGAAGGGCTAGGAGTGAGGCAAGCCAAGGTTGGGAAACAAAAACTCCAGCAAGTCTACCTCGTGACTAGTAAGAACCATTTATTTGGGCCATCACTTCTGCCTCCTAGGATCTACATTAGTGGGAAGCTCACGTAGGTGGAGGCAGGTGTCAAACCAAGGCACTGCTGTACAGGATGCGGTGTCCTAACGCCTAGGCTAAAAGCCCACACCATGTTTTTTGTTTAAAAAAAACATGTTTTGGCTACTTGTAAAATTTACAAGTTTACACCATGTTTTTTGTTTAAAAAAAACATGTTTTGGCTACTTGTAAAATTTACAAGTTTTAAATGTATTATTTGGTAAGTTTTTGACAGATGCACACATTTATGTAGCTAAGACTAACTAGATAAGAGATCATCACCTTCAGTCCAGAAAGTTATTTTTGCTGCTTCATAGTCCATTCCCAATTCCATCCCCACGCAGTCCCCGGAGACAACGCCTCTGCTGAGTTTTTCACCATCTGGTCGATACTCTTGTGTGTGATCCTTCCTTCACTCAGCATAGGGATTGGCTTCAGTCGTTTCTTGTATTGGTAATTTATTCCTTTTATTGTTGAATAGTATTTAGTTTTGTGAACATAACCTTCTTTATTCTCCTGTTGATTGACACCTGGGTTTGCATACAGCTATTGTGGATAAGGCTGCTATGATCACTCTTGTGCAGATCTTTTTGGACGCACAAGTTTTCATTTCCTTTGGTAAAATACCATGAAGTAAAATGACTGAGTTACAGCATAGCTTTGTAAGCAACTGTTACAGCTCTCTCCGCCTAGTTATACCAGTTTCTGCTTCTACCAACATGTGCATTTTGGTTGCTTAACATTCTCAGAATACTTGGGATTCTCAATCTTTAAAAATGTCTTAGCATTCCTAATGTAAAATTTCCAATTGTATCTGTTTTTAAGCATATAGTTCGGTGACATTACCTATAGTTACATCGCTGTATAGCCTTCATTACTGCCTAATTCTAGAGCATTTTTTAAAGAAAATTTGTACATTCATTTGAAAATCTTAATGACGGGGAGCGGTGGGTGTGCGGAGGGAGCAGCATGATAGTCTGGTGGCTAAATCCTCATCTTACAACTGCTGGGATCCTGTGTGGTTGCCAGTTTGTGTCCCAGCTGCTCCACTTCCCATCCAGTTCCCTGCTTGTGGCCTGGGAAAGTGATAGAGGATGGCTCAAAGTCTTGGGGCCCTACACCCATGTGGGAGATCCAGAGGAAGCTCCTGGCTCCTGGCTTCGGATCAGCTCAGCTTTGGCAGCAGATGAAGGATCTTTCTATCTTCTTCTTTCTGTAAATCTGCTGTTTTGATTAAAAAATAAATCTTAAAAAAGAAAGAGGGGAGGGAGGGAGAGAAGAAGGAATCTCAGGGATAGAAGCAGACTGAGATTTTCCACATGCGTCTCCCTTCCCCTCCCCCTAGGGATAGGGCCAGGTTGAAGCCAAGAGCCCAGAAAAGTCTCCCATATGGATGGCAGCACCCATGGACTTGGCCATTGCTTTTCCAGACATGTTAACAGGGAACTAGATCAAAAGTAGAGCAGCTAGGGCTCAAGCTGCTGCTTAAAATATATGTCGATGTCACAAGCAGTAGCCTAACCCACAGTGCTACAATGCCAGTCTCCCCCTCTCCCCCACAGACCATTTTTAACATCCCAATTTGAAATAAAGCACTTATTAAATAATTACTCCCCATTCCTTTTGTCACACTTGTCACTATGAATTTGATTACACTGGGTACTCATGGAGTCAGAGTCATACAGTGTTTGCTCTTCTGTGTCTGGTTTATCTCATTTAGCATGTTTTTAAGGTTCATTCATGTTGTCACACATGTCATAATTTTCTTTGACGATTGAACAATATGTTATGTGTTTATGCTACATTTGGTTTATCCATTGGTCCTTCAATTTACACTTGATTTATTTCTACCTTTTGGCTGTGAATAATGCTGCTATTAATAGGGTGGTACAAATATCTTTTCATATCTCTCTTTTCCTTTGGGCATATATACAGAAGTAGAATTTCTGGATCCAATATTAAGTCTATTTTTAATTTTAAGGAGCTGCCATCCGGATTTCCATATCAGCTGGACCACTTTATATCCCCACCAGCAATGCCGAAGGGTTACAGTTTCTCCACATGCTAGCCAACATTTGTTTTTTCTTACTGTTTCAAAGTAGCTATCCTGATGGATGTGAAATAGTATACCACCCCTTTTTCTCATAATTCAGTGTGAATTTTATAACCTCATCCAAAGGGTAAATTGTATTTCTCCTTACTGTGCCTAAGTGTTTTTAATATTGTTATCTCACTAGGAATTGATTATGGATGCATTTTTAAAAACTCCTTATTGTCTTCAATTTTTGTTCTGGACATATGATTCTTATACAAGCTGGGAAGAATACCCCACAAGACTTTGTGTGGGCTCTTAATTACCCCTACATCACTTTTTTCCTTGTAGTTTCTGGATCAGTATTACCAAGAACCTAGTTTTAAAGGTCAAGTAAAAGTATTTCTATCACGGAGAGGGAAAGGAGAAGAGATCCTCCTGGGAAATAGCTTAGGAATCCTGGGGCTGGCATTGTGGCACATGTTGTTAAGATATTGCTTGCAATGCTGGCATCCCACGTGCATACCAATTCAAGTTGCAGCTGCCCCATTTCCAAAACAGCTCCCTGTTAAAATGTTTGGAAAGCAACCGAAGATGGCACAAGTCCTTGGACCACTACACTCACTTGGGAGACCCAGATGGACTTCTGGTTTTCTTCTGGCCCAGCCCTGGCTCAACTCTGGCTTAGCCCTAGCCATAGCAGTCATTTGTATATTGAATCAGAAGATGAGAAATCTTTATTTCGCTGTCTCTTTCTCTTTCACTCTGCCTTTCTGATGAATAAAGCTTTAAAAACAAAGCTTAAGAATACAAAGACAAATTGACTGCTAGGAGAGAAACAGATGCAATGTTTTACTCAGGTGTAGTTACATAATATATGCATAGGCAAATCAAGATGTGGACAGAGTTTGAAACAGAGTAAGGAACAGTGACTAATCTGTTTCAAATCACATGGGCTCAAGCAAGTAGCCAACTTGTTGTTGCTTGTTAATAAAGGCTGCTCTGGTGACTGTGGAAGGATGGGGTGAGTGGGTGCAGAGAAAGGAGAGGTGTAACTTCAAGTACATAGCACTTGGGAGGCCATTGCAGTTGTACAGATGCTTGTTGAAGGTTGAACTGGATGCGGCAGTGGTGATAGACAAAGGGGGTAGAGGTGAGAAGTTATTAATTGTTTGAATATGGCATGAGGCAATAGGAAACAATGATGTTAGCTTATAAACTTTTTAGGTTTTTTTTTTTTAAATAGCTCTGATGTAAAATTCCATGGTTTTTAACCTAAGAGAGCCACTTCTCAAAAGGTGCAAATTTGGGAAAGAAGGCATATGTTATGGCCATCTCCAGTATATATGAAATATTCTTTGAAATATCTGCTAAATTGACTGAGGATCTAGATTCCACACAACAATGGACACCACAACTACATATTTGAAAGATACTACACCCGAAGCTGTGCCCTATGTTATGTCAGTGGGCTTGCATGTTCTTTTCTTTTCTCACTCATCCAACACATCTCTTTTTCTTATAACCCAATACAATTTTTTTCAAGGTTCAAGTATTTATTTGAAAGGCAGAATTAGAGAGGGAGAGACAGAGACAAAAATAAAACTTTCAGCTACTGATTCAACCAAATGGTTGCAACCTTTGGGGCTGCCCCAAGCTGAAGCCAGGAGTGTGAAACTCCATCTAGATCTCCTATGTGGATGCTTTTCCAGGCTCACTAGCAGGGAATTGGACTGGCATCCATATGTGATGCCAGCATTGCAGACAGCAGCTTAACGCACTGTGCCATGATGCTCCCCATTCCCCAAGGTGGCTTTTGTACTCTTCTCTAGAGCTGAATAAATTCTGATCCTCATTATGGTGCCTCAAGACTCTGTGTGTGTGTGTGTGTGTGTGTGTGTGTGTGTGTGTGTGTGTGTGTGTGTGTGTGTGTGTGTGTGTGTAGCAGAAGGAGAGCAGAATAAAGGAGCCCTATCCGATTTTTCCTTTACTATCAGCTGTGCTTTCTGTATACATAGTAGTGTCTTCTGAATGGCAGGAAGAAGCCATTCCTTGTTTTGTTTTGTTTTGTTTTTCTAAGATTCATTTTATTTCAAAGACAGAGTGATGAAAGGATAAAGAGACAGGAAGAGATCTTCCATCCACTGATTCACACCCTAAATAACAGCAACAGTCAGGGCTGGTCCAGACCAAAGCCAGGAATCTGAAGCTTCATCTGGTTGTGCAGTGTGGGTGGCAGGCACCCAAGCTTTGGACCGTTCGTTGCTGTTTTCCCAGGTACTTTAGCAGGAACTGAGTTGGAAGCAGAGCAGCCAGGATTCAGATCATTGGTCTAGAATGGGATGTTGGCATTGCAGACAGTAACATAGCTTATTTTGCCACAATGCCAGCACCAGGATCATTCTAAATAATTTTGGTATTTGGGATGGGGGATTACCCTAATAACTGATTAATTCAAATGTTTGGTCAATAGAAATATTGTATTCTTTTTACTTCCTAGAGACTACAAAACAAACTTCAAGAGATAACTCATCAAGGTGAAAGTAAGTTAAGTAAGATGTACAGTGTTTTTTTTTTTCTTCCATGGACCCCTTGTTTTAAAAGATGTTTTTTAACAAACTGCAGTTAATAAGTAATAATTCCATTAATCTTGTGATGTATACTATTCAGAATTTTAGCTAAGTTTGAGAAGTTTTAAAAATAATAAAAACCGGTCTGGCTTTGTGATTTCAGTTGTCAGTGGATCTATTATTACTGGAAGCTAGTTACTGGTCAGGCTATTAATTTTTCTTTCGTTTATATATGTGTATTTATGTTTTGGAAAAAAATATGGTACATAGCTAAAAATCATTACAATGTGCCAAAGAATAGCAGTTTGTAGTTCCTGGTCAGCAATAACTAATGTTTCCATACTGAATTTGTGCAATTTTAGTCTAATGCCTGACAGGTTAAAATCTTGAGTAATTTTGTCACAGATAGATAGTAATTTCCATCACACTTTTTGACATTCGGACTTTTTTAAAAAAGATTTATTTATTTATTGGAAAAGCAGATGTACAGATAGGAGGAGAGATCGAGAGGAAGATCTTCTACCCGATAGTTCACTCCCCATGTGACCGCAACGGCCAGTGCTGCACCGATCTGAAGCCAGGAGCCAGAAACTTCTTTCTGGATCTGCCACGCAGGTGCAGGGTCCCAAAGCTTTGGGCCATCCTTGACTGCTTTCCCAGGCCACAAGCAGGAACTTGGTTGGGAAGTGGAGTTGCTGGGATTAGAACCAGTGCCTATATGGGATCTTGGCACATTGAAGGCGAGGACCTTAACTATTACCCTGTTGTGTTGGGCCTGACATTCTGACTTTAATGCATTTTAACTTTTTGTGATAATATATATATATATAAAACATAAAACCATTTTCATCATTTTATTATTATTGTTTTCCATAGGCATAGGGATCTCCCTCCACTTCCTCTCCCCCACCACTGTTTCCGCAGTATTATTACAGTAGTATCATGCTTCAGTAACAGTTACAAGTCCAGTATTCTTGTGTTTAACCATTTTAAGTACACAGTTCAGCAGCACCAAATGTTTTCACATTGTTGTACAACTGTCACCACCATCTATCTCTAGATTTTTTTTTTTAAATCTCTGTGCACAATAACTAACTATTAAGTGAAACCTCTGTTTTCTTAGCCTCTGCCCCGGGAAACCACCATCCTAATTTTTGTTTCTGGCATTCTTTTTCCAAATTTCTTTAGTCCTCCTTTTCAAGAAATCAGTGTTTGTGCTTTTATCACTGGTTTATTTTACTTAGCATAATGTCTTCACAGTTCGTGAACTAAAAGGGTGTCCAAATTTTTAATAATATTCCATATTTTGTTTATACCACATTTTGTCCATTCACCTGTTCATAGACAGTTGTGTTGTTTTGCTTTTTGGCAGTTATGAATAATGTTGCTATGAACATGCATATACAGTATTAGTTGGTTCCTGCTTTCAGTTCCTTTGGTTTATGTGGTGAAGTGGGATTGCTGAATCAGCAGTAATTGTATTTTTAATTTTTTGAGGAATTGCTATACTGTTGTTCAGCTATAACATTTTAAATTCACCCCAACACTGTACTAAATTCACTTTCTTCACATTTCCACTGGTACTTTTTACTTCTTGGATTTTGAAAGTAGCCATCCTAATAGGTTTAAGGTAGTACCTTGTGGTTTTGATTTGTGATCTCTATGATCGGTAATATTGCTATTCAGGCACTATTTTTTGCCATCCATAAGTCTTCATTGGAGAAACAAATGCTCCAATTCTTTATCTATTTTTAAATTATATTCTTTGCTTTCATATTCTTTTTTTTTTTTTTAAGGTTTATTTATTTTCATTGAAAAGGCAGATCTTTAGGGAGAAAGATCTTCTGTCTGTTGACTCACTTCCCAAGTGGCCACAATGGCCAGAGCTAAGCTAAGCAAATCCAAAGCCAGGAGCTCCCATATGGGTGTAGGGTCCCAAGGTTTTGGCCATCCTCTACTGCCTTCCAAGGCCAGAGCAAGGAACTAGATGGAAAACAGAACAACTGAAACACAAACCAGCGCCAATACGGGATCCCAGTCCATGCAACGCAAGGATTCAGCCACTAGGGCCATCACGCTGGGCCCTGCTTTCATATTATTTAACATCTTCAAAATAGCCCTCCTGGGCCTGGTGCCAATGGGCCCACTCTGTCTATATTAAATGATGTAGTCCTAGATACGAGGGTCTGTGCTGTGTCTTGATCATCTGACATTATACTAAATCTTGGTGGAATTTTGGTAAGCACTTGATTGGCTTTTCCATATTGCTAGTTCAATCAAGTATTCAATTATTATTTTTATGCTATTATTATGTAGGCAGTTTGTTAGGTTTGTTGAGTTTAATGACGTTAAAAATTTAGTGTTAATGAGAACAATCTTTACAGGTAATACATGAAAGAATAAGGGGAAAGTAGGAGTATTTCCTCCAACACTTCAGTGATTTGCAGGTGGCCTAGATATTTTAAAAATTCCAAAGCGGATAAATTTTCTGATGATAACCTCATGTCTGTCATTTGTTTCCAAATTCAATTTTGACAGTATGTTCATAAGTTTTGGAGCATTTGCTAACTTCAAGGCATTGTGCTTATACCTATAGATAATATACAGATGACTAAACCACAAAAACAACACAGCAGGGGCCCGGCGCAATGGCACAGTGGTTAAGGTCCTCGCCTTGCACGCCTGGGATCCCATATGTGCGCTGGTTCTATCCCGGCAGCCCTGCTTCCCATCCAGCTCCCTGCCTGTGGGCTGGGAAAGCAGTCGAGGAGGACGGCCCAAAGCTTTGGGACCCTGCACCCGCACGGGAGACCCGGAAGAGGCTCCTGGCTTCGGATTGGCATAGTATCGGCAGTTGTGCTCACTTGGGGAGTGAATCATCGGATGGAAGATCTTCCTCTCTGTCTCTCTTCTCTGTATATATCTGCCTTTCCAATAAAAATAAAATAAATCTTTAAAAAAAAACAGCAAAGGAAAGTATCTTGTGGGAATGAGTTCATTTAAGATATACAAGCAGAGGAAAAGATGGCAGAGCAAGAAAAATGATGACTAACCTCTACTAACCAAAGCACAGATAACTGAGGAGTCTCTGCACGCTAACTGGGATGTGCTTTGTATGTACTGGGATTGCGAGCATTCACACAGAAAATTCTTGTTACCCAAAACAATGTTTTATTTAATCTACTATACCTTGGTGTCTGGTTCTGTGGATGGTTATATGATAGAAAACTAAAGCTGTACTAAGGAAGGCTTTCTTTTTTACAGTGCTTAGAGACTGTTGAGATTGTATCATTAAGTAATATTTACTCTTTTTCTGAATCTAGATACCAAAGAAAAGACCTCCTTGAAGGGTGTGGAAGGTACCATGATGGAGACCATTGCTCTTTGCCAGAGAAATTCACATAATTTGAACCAGCAGCAGCGAGAGGTAGGAGAATGACTACTCTGGTGTTTAAGTGCCTATTGTGGTTTGAAACTGGAAATTAATTCTATTCCCACTGCCCCGTCAGCCACCTGAGTTTAATTCAGCAGGATTTAATCACTTTTTAGTGTTCCCAGGAGTAGAAAACTCTTGAAGTTATTAGAAAGAGTGTCTGGTTTCTTTGTTCAGGCAAAAGCTTTAGGTTCTTAGATTGGCTGTGCTACAAAAACTTGAGGCATATGATTGCTACATGTCCCTGGTCTCCCTGGACTGGAGCTGTGTGTATTCCAGGTAGTGGTATGAGGAATATGTCCTTATTTATCAGACCTCAGGGATACTGGGGAAAGCAGGCCAGGGTGTCAGGGTCCTCAGTGTGGGCTGCACGTCAGAGTCAGCAGGGAGCTCTGCAAACCTTCCTTGCTCAGGCTATGCTATGCTCCAGATCAATTAAGACTCTGGGGCTGGGCCCCAGTCATGGGGATCTTGTTTTGTTGTGTTTTTAAAAATTTTTTTATTGATTATATTGCATTATGTGACACAGTTTTATAGGTACTGGGATTCCCCCCACCCCTCCCAAAACTTTCCCCCGATGGTGGATTCCTCCACCTTGTTGCATTACCACAGTTCAAGTTCAGTTGAGATTCTTTCATTGCAAGCATCTACCAGGCATAAAGTCCAGCATCTTATTGTCCAGATAAGTTCAACGGCTTCTTTGGGAGACCATCTCTGGTCTGAAAGTAGACCTGGCAGAGTATCATCCCGATCAATTAAAAGCCCCAACATAACATCAGCAACAATTTAATATGTTATGGAATTAGTGGACATAGTATTGAGTAACCAATATGTTAAAAAAAAAATGCAAGTTCTTAACCACATCCTGTGACTTCATTGAGTCATGGGGATCTTGTAGAGCTTCCTCTGTGATCATAATGTGCAGCCGAGATCTACTACCTCCAACTCTACAAAGGAAGAGAACAGCACTGAAGCAGGCATAGCTGACACCTGGTGCAGGTGGAGTCCAAGCTGTGACACAGAAGCCTGAGGGGGGCGGGATGTCACATGACAGCAGGATTTTGCAGTGGTTTTCAGAAGGACCGGGGCTTGGTGATGTCCCTCACTGCTCAGTGGCCTCTGACCTCACACTGCCTGGCCTCTGCTGCCTGGGCCTTTGAAAGACACGACAGTTTTTCATAAATGTGCTCACCCTTACATCTTTCCCAAGAAAATAAATCTTAATAAGTTTTCTGTCCTTAAGAGGTGGATATGTTTTAGGTTTTTCTCAAAGATTTTTCAAGGTCATAAATTATTTGTAAGATGTTTACATATAGACGTGACTTTTTTGTTTATTTAAGAGACTTTTTGTTAAGTGATAGACTCACTGTATTAAAGACTTGCACTACATATGTAAAATTACACAAAAAGATGTTAGAAATTACAATATATTCATCCTGTTGACCAGAAATAAACATTATTTTTTAGTGAGCAGCATTCTATTTGTTTTGTTTTCATTTGTTTTGTTTTCTTTAGTGAACAGCATTCTAGTTAGATTTTTGTCTAGATCGTTTTAGTTTTATAAAAATTGAATCAGATAATGCTTACTTTTAACAATATAATATTCAGACTCCTTTAGGAACTGTAAGTAAAGTTGAGGAATCTATAAATTTCAGATTAATATTTCTTCACATACAAGGGGTCATCTAACAGTTCATGGAAAAAGTGTATTATGAGAAAGGCTATGCATAGATTTCAGAATTTCCAATATAATCTTATTTTTTCATTCTATTTCTATGAACTTTTTGAAAACCCTCATGTTATCTTAATAAAGCTCTCAAGTTAAAAAAAAATGTAACTGTAAATAGATTGGAATGATGTTTATGCATTTATAATTACATTTAAGTTTTTACTTGTGTCCTCTTTGATGCCATGCCACTCAGAAATTGGTATAAAATCACACTTGCTCCACGGGCCTCCCTCTGCATCCCCCCCTAGTTTTTATTACTTTGTTATTTTACCTTGTTAAGGTTTTTAATGCTTTTTTATATATAATTCTCACAGTTGTTTAATCTATATTTAAATATGTGCATTGTGGGCTCAGTAGCAGTCATTCTAGCATGCTTTTTACATTCCTAAATTTTAATTTTTATTCCTGTTGGGATAAGTTGGCTGTATTTGGGCATGGTTATATGATATTCTGATAAACATAGAAAGGCAGACTTATTAGAGCCATATTTATACACGTTTAACACTAAGCTTTTTAAAAAATGTTTGGCCTTTCTAGCTCCTCTCTCATACTTTGAAAGAGGTAACTAGAAGAAAAATGTATTTTGTTTATTCTTTAAATATTTTATTTGTGTGAAATGCAGAGATAGAGAGAGAGAAAAGGAGAGAGATCTCCTGTTGCTCCTTAAGGAGCTGTTTGGTCCTTAAATGGCCACAGTGCTGGAGCTGGACCTGGTCAAAGTCAGGAGCCAGGAGCTTCTGGGTATGCCACATGAGTGCAGGATTCCAAATACTTAGGTCATCTCTTCCACTGCTTTCTCAGGAGCATTAGCAGGGAGCTGGATCAGAAGTAGAGCAGTTAGGGCTCTAATTGGTGCCTATATGGGGTGCCAGCACAATAGATGGTGACAGTTTAATTTGCTGTGCCACAGCACTGTCCACAAGCAAGGTTTTATAAAAATAGCAATTAAGGTTTACATAAGCTGAAGCCTGTTCAGTCTCAGATATTAACAATAGATTGAAATATATAAAATACTTATCTCCACAACTCTAGTGTTTCGCTTTGATTTCTATTTGCATTTGAGTTCTTCCGCATCAGTTAGACACAAGAGTGTTGTTTTGATTTGGCAAAATAAAAATACTACTTTTGTCAAGAAAAAAAAAATGTATCTGATTTGAATATGTTTTCATAAAGATGTCAACTGTTAGACCTTTTGCTGTCCTTAGGGAATTTCCGCTTTTCTAAGAGTAAGTCTTCATCTAACTGTATATAAAAGGAGACTACAAAACCTTTATGGCCAATGTCAATTTTTACAAATCTATGTGCAGATTTCAGGATTCTTTATACACAAAAATGAACTTTATCTTTTAACCCCATTTTCTTTGAACTATTTGAAGTACCCTGCTAAGAAAAGTCTACCTTTGTTGCTGACCCCAGATCCTTTAAGGTCAAATCAAAATTGACAAAATTGCAAATCAAAATTGACAAGAGGCTGATATGCATCCCCAAGAAGGTTAATCAGATCTAAAACAAAGGGAACCATCATGGTAGGAAGGGGTGCTGGGGATGAGCTGTCTTGTGGAGCTGAATGGGAGCTTTCCTTGGGTTGCTGTCCCTCCACCCCAGCATGTGGCACTGCACTGCAGCCAGCCTGGGCTTCCAGCTCCCCTCTGCCCCACACAACACTTCTGCTTATACACAGCTTGACCTTCTGTGTAGGGACTGTTATTGTCTTTGCAGACAAGCTCAAAAAGGTGGTATTAATTCACTGCCATCTCCAGGAGGGTCATATTTGGTGATACTGGGCTGTTCTTGGCCAGAGTGCACTGAGGAACGTCCCCAGCAGCACCGTGGAGGCTGCTTGCTGCTGATTGGTGGAGATGTATTTATGGATTAGGAGATGGTACTATATAAGGTCAGGAGGGCTTGGCCGAGTCCCATTCTCTTCTGTCTGACATATAAGGAAAGTCTGTCACTCCCTCTCTTACACAGGCACACATGCCTCTCCTTCCTCCAACAACTGGTTTCTTCTGTTTTACTCTGAACCAAGATAATAACAATGACAAAATATATGTATGTTCATTGTTATGTAAATACTACTTAGTGATGGTGCTTAAGTCAAACATTAAGTGTTATGGGATTTTGGTGATTGATTGCTTTGTTTTTCATTTGTTAGTTTTGTTTGTTTTATATTGGAGGAAGTGAGAACAAGAGCTGCTGCCCCATTCCCCGTAGCAGTCAGGAAATGTAAAATATCTGAGAAGTTTGATCATGAATTACCTCAATATCTCCCACCAAAAGTACCATCAGAATGATTTAACATCATGGAGTATGTCCGCATGTTTGACCTCAGGAAGTTGTTGGTCCTTTCCCGAACAGAATCTCTACCACTTCTACCTTTGTCCCTGTTACACTGCTACCCCAGTGTGCAGCCCTAATGGCCCCAAAATCTGTGGCTTTGCTGTGCTTGTAATTCCCTGAGAACAGACTGTTACATAACAAGGGAAAGTGATTCAGGTCCAGTTGTGCTGCTCTCTCTCTCTAGAGAGGATTATCCTTGAGTCCTGCATACTTACCACAGCTCATGGATTTTTAGAGCTGTCCAGGCTAAAATGTTAAGCCTCAGTAATGAAGGGTTGAGACAGTAATGTTTTTACTACATAGTTAGGATTCCTGTGGATACTTCCTGAATGAACTCCACTATTTTAGCATGTGAACACAGCCCATGGCTGTAACCTCTACAACCATGCTTCCTTCAGTCTACCTTTTATAAATCAAGAATAAAGTTTCCTTTAAAAAAAAAAAAGGTGATTCTTTTAAATTGTCTTGATTAAACAAGAAAATTTAAAAATCAAGCTTCTAAACATAATAAATTTTAAAAGTAGAGTTAAAAATTGGATGTGCCGGAACCCAGTGCAGTAGCCTAGTGGCTAAAGTCCTTGCCTTGCACATGCCAAGATCCCATATGGGCGCTAGTTCATATTCCAGTGGCCCCACTTCCCATCCAGCTCCCTGCTTGTGCCCTAGAAAAGCAGTTGAAGACGGCCCAAAGCTTTGGGATCCTGCACCTACATGGGAAACCCAGAAGAGGTTCCTGACTCTTGGCTTTGGATTGGCTCAGCTCCGGCCATTGCAGTCTCTTAGAGAGTGATTCATCAAACGGAAGATCTTCCTCTCTGTTTCTCCTTCTTTCTGTATGTCTGGCTTTCCAATAAAAATAATAAAGAGAAGCTATTAAGAAAATTGGATATGCTGTACACAATTAGAAAGTCATTAAATGCATAAAAATATATTATTGTAAAAAGAAGTTAAGGTAGCTAAAAGGTAAATTATATACAACTACTTAAATACAATGTAATATTGAAATTTTATGAATATTGGATGAAATAAATTAAAAATTCAGTAACATACAATTTCAATAACAGAGAATCACAATAATAACAAATAATTCAGTAACTTAAGAAGATACACGGAAAGCATAAAATCTTCCATACTGAGGTTTTCCAAATCTTTCCCTCGAAGGGGAGTAGATAGCAGGTCTTAGTGGACGGTCACCCGGGGGAGACTTGGCTGCTCTCAGCCTGTCTCCTTGGCCTTAAACCACTCCCGTATTTTGTTGCACTGTGGGGAAACACTCTTCTGTCCATAACCATTCTTCCTGCTCAGTGAATCCTGGCTTCCCTAGGTGCCTTTTGGATATTCACAGTGATGGGTCCCTTCTAAAATGCTAGTTTAGGGCATTTGTAAATCATTATTCAAACATTAAAATGCACTAATTTGATTTTCATAATAAGGCATTTTTTGGAAGACTACAGAATCTGGAATCCAGAAAGCTAATTTATTGAAGTATAATATTTGGCCAATTAGGTAGTTTTCTCTAAACCTTGATTAATATGTGACTGACAATGATTCCTACTCTGTAAAGTTATTGTAAGATTTAAATGAAAAAAGATATCTAAAACATTGAGTACCTAACATGATAGGATTATAACCAAATGGTAACTCTGTTTATCTTTTGCATGGTTGGTGATTTTCATTGTGATAATATTGACACTCTTCAATCTGCGATGACTTAGTAAATATAAAATAGTGCTTTGAGGGCCAGCCTTTGGTGTAGCTAAGAAGTCACCTGTAGTGCTGACGTCCCATATAAGTACCAGTTTGAGTCCTGGCTGCTTTGCTTCTGATCCATCTCCTAGCTTTTGCACCTGGGAAAGCAGCAAAAGATTGCCCAGCTACTTGGCCCTTTGTACCTATGTAGGAGACCTAGGTGAAGCTCCTGATATAAGCCTTGTCCAACCCCAGCTACTGTATACACTTGAGGAGTGAACCAGCAAATAAGATAATTTCCCACTCCCTTTCTCTGTCCCTGTCTGACTCCTTTCTCTCTTGTCTCTGTAGCTCTGTCTTTCAAATAAATAAATACATCTTTTATAAAATGTTTAATATAGGAAAATTACTTTATCACCTTTATTCATTTTTCTTGCTTGATGTAACAGTAGAAAATCATGGGGGAGGACAGTGTGGGAGTTGTTTATAGCTTCCTGCAGTGATGCACAAGGTCCTTTGGACTGTGTCAGTGATACATTCATATCGGCATAGACAGGACCTAGCAGGAAGCCCTGGCTGCTCTGCTCCTGCCCTCTCCTGAGACATGAGGTTGTAGTTCCAAGGTCCCCAGTTGCTTCCCTTCGGTGTCATGTTTTCCAAGTCTGCACAGTGAAGATATCTGTTGGAGCTGTGATGCTTGCTTCCTATTATCTTTTTTCCCAAATGTTTCCTGTTTTTGTACATACATGCAATTCAGCCTAGATAACACTGTGCTGCTGATAGTCTCTCTTTTTTATTAAAGATTTATTTATTTGTCTGAAAGGCAGAGTGATAGGGAGAGAGAGGAACAGGGAGTAGTCTTCCCTTGGTTAATTCACTCCCCAAAAGGCTGCAGTAGAGTAGGCTCGAAACTCCAGCCAGGTCTCCCACATGGGGCTGGGCTCCAAGGATTTGGACCATCTTCCATTGTTTCCCCAGGAATGTTAGCAGGAAGCTAGATGGGACTCAAACTGGCCCTTGGTTATGGGCTGCTGGCATCACACACAACAACTTAAACTGCTGTACCACAACATTGACCCAGTGTCTATTCTTGAAAATCACAGAGCATTTGCTTTCCTCTGACATCACAGGCACTGTGGTTTCCGTTGTTGGAGGCAATGATGGCCCCTCAGAAGCTGACCAGTCCCACCGCCCCTCCTCTGCATGCCGAAGGTAAGGTCAGAACCTAAGCGAGTGAGCTGCCTGGGTCTTCAGTGCACTTTTACTCACACACGTCTTCATTATGGTGTCTTTCCCAAGTCATGTTCATACTGTTTTCTTAATGAAACTAGGTTACAGTGATGATTTCATCTTTTAGGTTTGAGTCTGTCTGCCATGTCACTAGTGCACTGGAATAACAGTAGTAATTGCAGCTTATCAACAGTTATTTTAAAAGAATAAACTTGCTTTGTTTATGTAAGTTTTCCTGAAGGTGTTTAAGGCCACTATTTCTTCATGACTATAAAAGCTGTAAGGACTCCTATTTTAAAGTAACCTTATTTAAGTCTTATTTTTTTCAGTTTTTAACAAGTTCAGTACAGGTCAGAGATACAGTCTGAGAATATAGTGATATTCTTTCTCTCTTCCAGCCTCCCTCCATCTCCCGTCTGCCTTCTCCTTTCTCCCCTTTGCTTTTAAGATAACATATCTTTAATTTACAATGCAATAAAACACTTGATGCTCTAGTATATAAAGGGTTCAGCAGATAAAAAGCAGAAAGACTACCTTAGTAAAAATGTGGCAGTAGCCATAAATAATAATAAAACGGAAAAATGCTGTTTTAAACATAGAGGATAAATTCTAAATTTCAGAGTAATCACAGGTCATTAAAACTAAAGTAATGTAGCATTCTTCCAAATTAGTTTGAGAGCATAAAAAAGTTTTACAGAATTCTTAGCTCTCACTTACCGGAGAGAACACACAGTATTTGTCTTTCTGGGTCTGGTTTATTTCATTCAACATGATATCCTCCAGTTGTGTTCATTTTTCTGCAAATAATAGATTCTTGTTCCTTTTAATAGCTGAGTAATATTCCACTATGCATCTATGCCGTATTTTCTTTATCTGTTCATTTGATAATGAATACCTTGGCTGAGTCCATATTTTGGCTGTTATGAATAGTGCTGCTAAAAGCATGTTTGTGCAGGTAACTCTTAGATACAATGTGTTTTTGTCTTTTAGATGTGAGCCTGGAAATGCAAGTGCTAGATCATATAACAAATGTATTTCTAGTTTTCAAGAAATCTCCATTCTGTTTTAAATTAACCTTGTTAACAATTCTTGTGACAGCTCTGAAATCCTTGACCATGCAAGTCCTAAACAGTATGGCAGCTTTTATTGCCCTTCCATCAATCCTGCAAAGAATCTTACAGGTGAGTTCAAAGGAGGAAATTACATACCTGTTGATTGGTTTGAACTGATATTTTAGCTGTATGTAAGTAGCAAATTGAATGAGTGTTTTTGTTGGGTCTTAAGCATTGTGCAGTTAGTTTTTCACATTAGCTAAATGTTTAACTTAGGTTCCTCCTTGAATCTGGTCTGTCACTCCTTTGGTGTAATTTTTCTGCTACAAGCATGTGACCATCTGTTAAGGAGGGCAGCCTTCAGGTGTTCACTGTCACCTTGGGATTCAGATACATAGGCTTGCTGTTGGTGTGCCGACCAGGAAACAATGATCCCTCATTTCCAATGGATTATACCTTTTTGATCAAAACTACCAGCAAAAGATTAATTTCATGCAGTCACTTCTGAATCACTGATTGTTGCTTAGGTTTTCTTGTTCATCCTAAAACTGTTTTTATATTCAAGACTCATGTCTAGATGACTGATTTTGTGTCCACAGCCTTTGTAGGAAATGTCATTCCAATATGCTTTATTCAGCAAAAAAAAAAAAAAGGCCAAAATCTTCCTAACTTCATAAAAATACTGTGAAGATGTATATTTAGAAAAATCTGTGAGCATCCTTGGGGAAACAGCAATAACTACACTTAGGAATCATTTTGTCTTCCTTTACATTATGCAGTGTAGACACATGCACACACACAAAATCAAATAGCGAGCCATTGGTCTTTTTAAGTTTAAAATTGTTTTTGTCTGATTGGCAATGTCCGAAGAGGCTATGCTTTAAGGCCTGCCAACTTCTCTTTTCCATCTGGTTGCAAGCTGCTGGGCCTTTGCTGATAAAGATGAGTGCTCCAGTAGTCTCTCTCATCACATCATACACTGCCATTAAACAAATGTATTTTTAGACTTGTCTCATTTGATCCTTAGTAGCTATCACTTGCCCAGTAATTATTTGATTTAAACTACTTGGAACCATCTTAAAATACATTAATCATCGCATTTTTAATTATATGTAAAGTAATATCTCCATGAAGTTCGCATAAGCAACTAAATTAGAAAAAAACAAAATCCTAAAATAAAAGTGAGTTGTCTATTTATATTAATCTTTAACCACACATTATGATGCATACTTTTTTAAAAAAATGATTTTTAAAAAATTATTTGAAAATCAGAATTAGCAAGAAAGAGACAGAAAAATCTTCTTTAATGCTGGTTTACTCCCCCAGATGACTGCATTGTGGGAGCTAGGCCAGACCAGGAACTTCTGAGACTTCCAAATGGGTAGCAGGGTCCCAGGAATTTGGGCCATCTTCCGCTGCTTTTCCTACGCCATTATCAGGGAGCGGGGAGCTGGATTGGAAGTGCAGGTGGAGCCGTTGGAACATGTACTGGTGCTATTTGGGATTCCAGCATTTGTAGGAGGTGGTTTTAGTTGCTATGCCACAGTGTCAGCCCTGAGACACATAAGTTTGAACCAAAACCTGCTTCTCCGTTGATAAAAAGCATTTTTTTTTAAATTCTGTGTTTCAATTTGTGATATATCTTTGTGATGCAATAGTGCTTCAAAATAATGAGACATGATCTACTGATATGCACTGGGCTTTAGCTCAGCCTATTGTCACAAATTGGCTTCAACTGGGTTGCTTAAACAATATTTCTTTTTTTTAGATGTATTTATTTATTTTGATGAGTTTTACATAATTAATTATGGTGATAAGGGTCAAGGGCAACAACATTTATTTCTTGCAGTTGTGTAATAGTATGCCATTGTGGTTGGGTGTTAATGGAGGCCCTCTTCCTGATTCAGAGGGCTGCCTTTTCACTGAGTCCTGCAGGAAAGTGGGAAGGGTGTGGGGACAGGGGTGGGACCAGCAGGCTGTCTCTGTCTTCATAGAGGATTACTGATCTCCACCAAGAAGACTTTACTGTCCTGACCTCATTACCCCCACAAAGGTCCCATCTCCAAGTGACCTGCTGATGGGGATTAAGGCTCTGGTGTATGAATTTAAGGAGGAGGGGTGGAGAGGACACAGACATGAGGTTCATAACACAATACAGCATGGTGATCTCCAAATTACAATGCTGAATGAAATAAAGAAAGAATACCTGTTCTGTAGTTCCATCTATCTGAAATTCTAGAAAATGCAAAGCCATCTGTAAAAATCAGAAGCACAATAGTGATTGTTTGGGGACAAGGTAGAAGGATGCAGGTTCAGGGCGGGAATGTGGAGTGATCACTATAGGATGTGATGTTTAAGTGTTTATCTTGAATTTGGGGTTAATTTTACAGGTGTATACATTTATTGCAACAGAAGACATTGTAGTCAATAAGACCTCTATAAAGCTTTTGTTTTTAAATCAGGTATGGAACTGAAGTTAAGCCTCTAAATATAGATTTTTTTTTCCCTTGCCAGTCCCCTCATTAAAATATAGGTGTTAAAACGATATGTACTTAGAACACACACATCAATGTATTAAGGATCAAAAAAAAAAAAAAGGACAGGCAGAGAGCAGCAACTTTAGTTATTAGCAAACAGTGGAAACTCTTAATACTGACAAGAACTTGTTGAGTCTGTCCTCTCAGAAAGGTGAGAGCTGAGAACTTAGAGTTGTGAGTTTGTTTAAAGGCTGTTTATGAGTGGCTAGGCCCCCAGTCCCTTTCGTACTGTCCCAGGGTGTTATTCTAGCTACCCACATAGCAGGTTCTAGACTCAGGGACACCAGATGTGATGGGGGAGGGAGTGAGGTACTGTGCACCTCTCCCCTCTCCCAGAGGCAGTCAGGTCCTCTGCTCTGGTTCCCCTCTTTGCAAGGAGATGAGAAGTTCTTCTTGAGACACTGAATGATTTCAGAAAAGCAAAACATGGACATAGCAGATGCATTAGCATTTGCTCAGTTAAAAAGGCAGGCTGGTTTCATTCTTCCATACCATCGAGATCTTTCATTTTTTATATTATTACTATTAATAAATAGAACAGTATTAGGTTTATAGAAAAAAGGCACAAAACCACAGAGGATACTCACTTATCCCTTCTTCCTTCCCCACAGTTTCCCCTTGTGTAAGCATCTTGTACTAAGGTACATTTGTTACAATGAGCTACGTCATGTCATGTGCCTGCCATCACAGCGTCAGGCCACAGAAATCCACCTTACTCCACCTTACATCCTCCCTGCCCCATTCCTGGCAACCATGATATTTGAAAACTGTCCTTTTTAGGGTGATTTTTTTTTTTTCACTTAGCATATACAAGTAAAGTTGTACTGTGTCTTAGTGGCTTGTTAACTCATTTATTTATATCATTGAATGATATTCTGTTATTTGGATGTATCACAGTTTATCTCTCTATTTACCAATTAGAGAATATACAAGTTTTGGCAATTTTCAATAAAGCTACTATAACATTCATATATAGTTTTTTGCATAGATATAAGTTTTCAATTCATTTGGGTTAGATGCTGAGTAGAATTACTAGGACTGTGTTTGTGAGAAATTGTCAAAGTGTCTTTCTGAGTTCATGTATTATTTTGCATTTTGACTAACAATGAGTAAGAGTTTCTGTTCCTCCAACTCCTTGCCAGTATTTGATATTGCTAATGTTTTGTGTTTTAGACATTTAAGTAGACATTATTTTAATTTATAGTCCTCTAGTGACATGATGCTGACCTTATGCAGGAAATCCAAAAGAAGTTCCTGGCTCCTAGCTTTGTTCTGACTCAGCCCTTGCCATTGCAGCTATTTGGGAAGTGAACCAGTGTGTGGAAGATCTCTCTCTCTCTCTCTCTCTCTCTTTCTCTCTCTCTGTAGCTCTCTCTTTAAAAATAAATAAATAAACTTTAAAAAAAGATGCTCAGATTCAATTGAAAAATGATTTTTCAGAAGAAAGGTTCATATAAGATGTTCTCCAAGGTCTTTTTGATCTCTGCGCGTGTATTCTAACTGCTGCGTAGGATATGGATTGTACAGGCTTCTTTAATGAACCTTAGGTGATAAGTGACAGTGTTTGTTTTTGTTTTAAGATTTATTCATTTTTATTGCAAAGGCAGACACACAGAGAGAAGGAGAGACAGGGAGAAGATCTTTCACCCAATTGTTCACTCCCCAGTGGCTGCAATGGCTGGAGCCGAGCCAGTCCAAAGCCAGGAGCCAGGAGCTTCTTCCGGGTCTACCATGAGGGTCCCAAACGGTCCGCCTTCAACTGCTTGCAGGTCACAAGCAGGGAGCTGGATGGGAAGTGGGGCTGCCGGGATTATAACCAGCACCCACATGAGATCCTGGTACGTTCAAGGCAAGGACTTTAACCGCTATGTTATTAGCCGGGCCAAGTGAGAGTGTTTTTAATACAAGTTTTGTTACTAATATCCTGTCTTCACTCTGGCAAAAGCAATTCTTGGCTTCTAAAAAGCTATTTATGACTTTGTTGCTGAGAAAATTAAAGCAAACAAATGCTATATTTATGCTGCAGCTAAAGGCATCATTCCCATTTTTAAAAAGTGTTCAATTAGTAAAGATTTTGATTTTAAAACAAAATACACACAATAGGTGTCACAAAGCAACGGGAAACATTTGAAAAAGGCAAATCTATATAGGGTACTTAGGTGTGCTTTTCTTCCAGTTTACAAACAAGCTAAAGAGCAAACACAGCAGTTCTTCATTGCTGAATAATCTAGCTGACATCTTTGGAAAATAGATGTGAAGAGCCGGTGGATTCTGTACCTGCTGTGCCAGAAGCCTCAAGCTTCCTTTTACATTCTATAATTTATTTGTTATCCCAGTAGGAGGCAGTTTTCATGATTTTCCTTTTAAATTATGTATGTTAAAGTGAAATGCACTGATATAAATAGAAAAATGACCTATAAAGCTATCTTATTTTTCCCAGAATTTAACCTTTTAAGATTTCTTTATTCTCCAAGCCATCTTTGCCATAAACAAATGCCATAACTATATTAGCTTATTGAATGCACATTTTATAGTAAATCTTGTAGTAGATTTCCTATAATAGGATACTGTACTATCTGTTGGCACTTTACTGAGTAATAAAATGTGGTTATTAAGAGCTTAACCAAAAGCATAATTAAGTGAAGATGAGAATCATCAACATAGATCTGCTTTTATGAAAAAAAAAATTAAGTTATAAATGTGTATATGACCTGCATCTTTCCTCTAGTAAAAGGCTAGTCTGAGACAGAAAAACAGTCTCAGCTATTCAAAGTGGCCTGCACATATTTGACAGGCATCTTTAGCTTCATAGTATGATCTCTGACCATATAGCAGAAAATTAACATATAACATATAACAAAAACCTAAGTGACCGAATCAAGCCCCAAACCTGTAAATATGTTAATCAGCCCATGAACTCAGAGTTCATGTGGACCTTGAATTTCTTCAGCCTAACCTCAGCTCCAAAGGGAGCAGAGGAGCTCATGGCAGACAAGTTCAAAATGTTCCAAATAAACTAAGAGTGCTGTAATCCTAGCAGTTGGAAACTGCACTACCCAACCTCCCAGAGCCACCATCAAACAACAAAAGACAAGCACATCTTGTGACTGTAGTGATAGCTCAAGTGAGACCTAGACTATGTTCATGCCCCCTGTGATCTTGACCTTTGCAAGAAATTGGAGGCTGATCCAGTGAACAGGAACTCTGTGTATATTGTTCTCTATTTTTATATATGTGCCTCCCAAATAAATGCATAAAATTAACATTAAGATTAAAATACCAAGAATCATAACAATTATAATGTTTGTAATTTTTTTTCTAATTAGGATCCAGTTTATGGAAAAGGAAAACTTGGAGAAATCCAGGGACTTATTCTGGGAATGTTAGATACCTTTAACTACGAGCAGGTAAGTAAGTTACTTGTTACATCTGTGTTTGTCCTAGGGACAGATCCTGACCATAAGCTAGCACGCCAGAGTCAAGTCTGTAGTCACCCCAGGCAAGGTTTCTTGGGAGACTCCCCAACTAGACAACTGGACTCAAACCCTGGCCAGAGGGAAAAATCACAAGATATGTAGTCTATGGGACTAGGCCTCCTCTGTTGCTGATGCCTGTGCAGTATATAGCATGCCCAGTATATAGCATGCACATGGGGGACATGATAGCTAGCTCATCTAGATCGGAAAAGGACATCGAGTGGCTCGTCAGAGGAAAGCACAACAGCTTGGACGGCTCACTTGGCCAATTTTTGCAGCAAGTGTCTGGGTGTGTGGATATGCTAAAGTAGAATTGGTCAGCCAATAGACCTTGAAAAGATTTCCTAAACCCTGGTACGGTGAAACCAATAAAGTCTCAGAACTATTACAGATACTCAAGTAACACCCTCAAACACTCTGGGTCCCTAAAGGCATCATCAAAGGACCATTTCCCATGCCCAGGTGCTGATTAGTTTGACAGCAAGCAGCAGTTAGCTCCCTCCCCTTCTCATTCAGCGGAAACGGGGGAGAAAAAACAAACCTGAAACGTTTGTCCCATCCACCTTCTTCTCTGTCTGACCCTTTCTACCCTAATCAGTGGCCCACAGGGGCATATATTCCTCTCAGCTTTGTGGACAATATTAAAAATTAAGTTTTTTGAAGGAAAAGAGTGGGGAGAAGAGGAACTAAAAGTTAAGTAGATTGAGGCGCATTTTGTGGATTTTTCTGTTTTTAAATTTCTCCTGACCTGAATTTTTACACACGTGAACACACACACACACGTGTATTCCAGAATATGGAAATGCATCTAAGTTAGATTTGTGTTATTCTTGTAATTCATTGGCAATTAAACAAACATCTTTTTTTTTTTCAGAATGAATGTAGGAAAAGACTTTCTACAAAAATAATTAAACATAAGCTATAGCTCATGAAAAATAAGATTCAGCATGAACATAGAAAGTGCAAAATAGGACCTGGTGTGGTAGCCTAGTAACTAAAAGTCCTCACCTTGCACATGCCTGGATCCCATATGGGTGCCAATTCTAATCCCAGTGGCCTCGCTTCCCATCCAGCTTCCTATTTGTGGCTTGGGAAAGCAGTTGAGGATGGCCTAAAGCCTTGGAACCCTGCATCCACGTGCCAGACCTGGAAGAAGCTCCTGGATCAGCACTGCTCTGGCCATTGTGGTTGCTTGGGCAGTGAATCAACGGACAGAAGATCTTTCTCTATGTCTCTTCTTATCTCTGTATATCTGACTTTCCAATAAAAATAAATCTTTTTTAAAAGGGTAAAATAGAATTAAATGAATATTCTTGTAAGCATTCTGAAACAGATTGTTGCCCGTAACCCAAAGCTACCATTAGTCTTCAGTTTACTCAAATAATCCCTGTAACTTTCATTCTCAGTGAGGTACCTTGCTGTAAAGAATTTATTCCTTAGTAAATGTCAACATAACTCATGAGGCCACCTAGGGAGAGCACCACTGAGGCATGTTGGATGCAGTGTCTACTTTAAGAGTCTGAGAAAAGAGAAAGAAAAATTGGAATGACACAGAGCTTTTTAAAGTGTTGTCAGAATTGCTGTTGTGCTAAGCACAGCCCAGTGAAGCTTGATGGCCCTGCAGGCACAGAGACGAGGTTAGTGGAAGGCAAGCTGAGTGCAAGACAGGAAATGTTGCCCAGCTTCACAACTACAGAGGAGGAGAAAAAGACAGCGTGGATGGAAGGAATTAGAACTGACAATTAGAACTCAGAGTTCTCCTTGACAGATGTAGTTAAAGGCTGAGCTAGGTCACATAGAAAGAAGGGTATGCAGGACCAAGCTCTGTCTTCCCATTTGGAATGAACAAAAAGAACCCAACTGCATATCCAAATGTTATCTGTGAATGCAAGCCTTAAAATGACTTAGTGTGATAGCTATGAAAATGTCTTTATGTGACTTAATGACAAATGTCATAGCCTTGAGTAGATTCAAGTGGCTTATAATTGCTGATCAGGAAAATGTGATCTCCCTGCCCAAGGGAGATGAGCACTGAGTAATGGCCATTAGCTTTCCCAGTGAAAGGTTATTTGAAACATTGCCATGAGTGTGGTTTCAATTTAAAAAAAAAAAATCAGGAATGCAGATTTAGCTTTGTTCTTTGTTACAACACTCTGAGTCACTCAGAGAGAAGTTATTGCATAAATGTAATATATACACCCGGTCTTATCTAGTCATTTGAAAGTCATCAATACTGAATTAAGCCACAGAATGGCAGAGCGCACATTTCACAGTAGAAATTAGTGGCAGACTTGAGAGTCTTAATGTGTGCACTCGTCATTACTCTGCACATTAAGATTAACTGCTTGAGAGTTTGGGCGTTCCAGTGTAAGTTTCATCCACTTTATCCCTTTGAAAATCAAACAGGTGTTATTCCCCATTCATCTCCTCAATTTCTTTGGCTGTTAACCCTCTTGTCTTTGTTTCTCTTTTGGCCTTTCACAGACTCTGCTGGAAACAACAACTAGCCTCTTAAATCAAGATCTCCATTGGTCACTGTGTAACCTGAGAGCTTCAGTCACCAGAGGACTGAATCCCAAACAGGACTACTGCTCTATATGCTTGCAGCAGTACAAGAGACGCCACGAGGTGGCTGATGAAATTATTGTCTTTAGGTAAGAGATGAAACACGTGGTATTTGCACATGTATGATGTCACCAGCAGGAATCATGTGGATACATAGCCCTAGTCCCGTTGTTCTATCAGTGTGTAAGACTGGCAAGTAGCTGCCTGCAGTGACCTTACATTTTCCCAGATGATGGATGGGAGTAGAGGTTACGGCACTCTGGCAGGAAATAAATACAGAGTGGCAGAGTGGTAAGAACTATGAAGAAACAAAATGCTGGGCAAGAGGATGGAGGAATGAAGTGTTCTGGAGGAGACTGCAATTTTAAGAAAGCACAGTGAGGGAAGGCATCTCTGAGGAATGAGAGAGGTGGGAGGGAAGGTACTGAGAAGAGTTGGTGTTTAGAATATATTCTAAAGAAAGGCCTGGTTTGCTCATATACCACACATAGGGAGTGTGGGGGGTGGTGAAAATTACATCTTTTTGCCTGAGCCACTGGTGATCACCTTACCAAGGGTAACAGATGAAGGACCTGAAGAAATCAAGAGTTTATAATTGACAGATGTTAGATTTTGGATGACTGCTAGATAAGGATAATAAGGATACCAAGTAGATAGATTTTTCTGGTCAGAATCAGGAGGCATGTTGAGACTGGAAATATTTAAGCCACAGTGCAAAGAACAGGTGTAGTACAGAAGGAAAGGGGCTGGTCTCAGAGCCAATATGGGCCATCCAGAATTTCCGGATAATAGAGGCAATTTCATGTAGACTCTGGAACCAAATTTCAGGAGTTCGTATCTTGAGATGCTAGCTGCAAGTCTCTGGGCAACTTATTTAACATCTTCATATTTTGTCTCTCCATCTGCAAATCAAAATAATAACCTCTTAGGGTTTTATAAAGATTTAATGAGATAAATTATGTAAGGTATATTATATGGTACCTGGAATGAGTTTGCACTTTACAGATGTCACCTATGCAAGAAAACTGGGTAATTGAAAGAAGGAATATTTCTGATTATACAAAGAATTCATTCATTCAGCACCTACTGTTTATCAAGTACTATTCGTTAAACATTATAATGATATTATTCAAGAAAAATGAAATGTCAGAGTGTCAACTACTATGGGAAAGCATATGTTAAAGGGAGGAGCTTACAAGAAAAACCTCGTTGATAAGGAGGTGATAGACAGTTTAAAAAAAAAAATCAGTCCATTGGGCCAGGTGCGGTAGCTTAATAGCTAAAGTCCTCGACTTGCACACACTGGGATCCCATGGGGTGCCAGTTTGTATCCTAGCAGCCCCGCTTCCCATCCAACTATCTGCTTGTGGCCTGAGAAAGCAGTTGAGGATGGCCTAAAGCCTTGGAACCCTACACCCATGTGACAGACCTGGAAGAGGCTCTGGGCTCCTGGCTTTGGATCGATGCAGCTCTTGCCATTGCAGCCACTTGTGAGTGTGTCAATGGATAGAAGATCTTCCTCTGTGTCTGTTCTCATCTCTGTATAACTGCCTTTCCAATAAAAATAAAATAAATCTTTTTTTAAAAAATCAGTTTATTAAAGTACAATCAATAATAATTGTATGAGTAAAAATGAACCATGACAGACAAAGAGAACATTGGGAGCCACCAGTGTATAAAGAATAGCCAGGGAAGGTTCACTTCTTAAGAGATGCTTGGACAGAGACTTACAAGAAGTGGCTGTGCAGGTGAAGGGACCAGTGCCCCAGGCAGAGAATCAGAACCAGGAGACACGGCATTCCTGGGGTCCTGCAGGGCCAGGGAGAGACGGGGCTAGTAACCCTAAGCATGTGCACAAAATGGAAAGTGATGAAAGGGGACTTTGGAGGAGGTGCACAGGCCAAGTTATGGACAAGCTGGATTGGATCAGTATAAAAGGTTGGACTTTTGCCCAGAGATGAGAAGCCATTGAGTGATTTTGAGGTTAGGGATGGTGTGATCTTACTTCCACCTTATGAATCACTCTGATGGCCTTGTGGAAGATAGAAACAGAGAGTCACAGAGAACACAAAGCAGTTATCTGGGCTCTTTCATTGAATCACATGAGAGACGGCCTAAGGGACAGTGAAGATTTTGGTATGAAAGCAAGAATAGTCAGAGCTGACTCTGAAGTTTTTTCAGGAAAGCTGGAAGGATATAATTGCCATTTATTTAGATATAGAACATTAAATGAGAGCTTGAGGGTGGGATAGGGCAGGTTGGAAGCTAGTGTTCTGGTTTTGCATATGTTAAAACACTTGATAGATAGCTAAAGTAGATGGAGTGTAAGGAAGAGGTCTGTGTTGAAGATACTTATGTAGTAATTAGGAGTGATAGGTAACACCTCAAAGCTATTGAACTAGAAGGAATCACTAAAGGAGCAACAGTCACTACAGAAAGGAAGAGTATAGAATATATATAATATACCCCACTTGGTAATTTAATGTAAATAATAGAAATGTTCTTTGTAAGGATTTATCATATACCAATCACATTTTTATAAATGTTTAAGCAAATCATGGCTATTGCCTTGAATTTGATGAGGCAGGCCACTCATGCCATTCTCAAGCTACTTACATAATTATGATTTTTCCCAATTGCTGTTTTTCTAAGCTATCTAAAAATAATGTTAGAATTTCATAGTTTGAGAGATAAACAGAAGTTCAGTTCATCCTCCAGGTGGTTTAAAACGAGACAACTGTGATTTTGTTCCTACTCACACTTAAATATACAAATATGTAAGTCTGGATTTTTTTTTAAGGTCTATTTATTTATTTGAAAGGCAGTGTTACAGAAAGACAAAGAGAAAGAGTTGGGGAGAGAGGGAGAAAGAGCTAGAGAATGAGCACTTTAATCTAGTGTTTCACCTCCTGACCAGCTGTAGCAGATAGTCCTGACTCATGCCAGGAGGCAGAAGCTTTCTCCCTGTCACTCTCATGGTTCAAAGACCAAAGCACCTGTGCCATCTGCTATTGCTTTCCCAGGTGCATTGCCAGGGAGCAGGATCTGAGGTTAAGCAGCCAGGGCTTGAACTGGTGCCAGTATGGGATGCTGGCACAGCAAGTGGTGACTCAACCAGCTGCAGCATGGTGCTGGGCCCTGAGTTTGGATTTTTATAAGAAAAGGACAGCAGCAAATACCTTTGCCTTCTTCTTTCTTACAACCCTCAGTACACTGCAGCTTACTGGAGATCTTTATTACTTAAGAGTACGGTCTAACATAACTTACAGTTCTTGAGATAATGAAAGTGTGAATTGATTGCCTTCATTTTGCAGCTGTGGCCATTTGTATCACTCATTCTGTCTACAAAGCAAAGAATGCACCATAGAAATTGAAGGCCAAACAAGGTGGACATGTTACAAATGCAGCTCAAGTAACAAAGTAGGAAAACTAAGTGAAAATTCATCTGAAACGAAAAAGGGAAGAACAGCCACATCACAGGTAAGATTGCTTTAGTGACCAGGTGCAGATGGTGTTTACTGACGTCCTCTGTCTAGGTCTGGCCTCATTTTCTACAGCTCCTGTAGGCTTTAGCAAGTTTACCTGGTGGGTGTTAAGTGAGTGATACTTTTTTTTTCACTCAGCCTTTGAAGAAGAGCCTCTCCTCTCTGCTCAGTTCTGAAAAAAAAAAAAAACATGTGTTTGAGAACAACAGATGTTCTATCTAAATAGAGCCACTCCGATATCCTTATAAGAACGTTTGACTAATGGGGACCTACTGACCCACGGCAGAGCACAGAATTAACTCCTTTATGGAGGGCTTGTACAGGTGCCTGTACATGCTCCGAAATGGCTCTCTCGGGCTGGTAACTCTTCAGAGAACCTGATGCAGTAGTATTCACTTCAGTAACTTTTCATTGACTTCTAGAATCTAATCAACTAAATAACAATTTTTACTTATTTCACACTCTCAGAGGTTTTTGTTTGTTTACACTCTTATTTGGCAAATGTCTATACTATTTCTTACTGTTTATTTTTACTTGAAAGGCAAAGAAATCTTCCATCTGCTGGTTCACTCCCCAAATGCCTGCCATATCCAGGGCCGTGCCAGGCTGAAACCAGAACCATTCTGGCTCTCCCACTTGAGTGGCAGGTATCCAGGCACTTAAGCCATCATCTGCTGCCTCCCAGGCTCATTAGTAGGAATGCTGCATCAGAAACAGAGTAGTTGGAGCTTGAACTGTCGTGCTGATATGGGATGCAGGTATCCCAAGCAGTAGTTTAACACACTGTGCCATGGTGCCCACTCCCCAAACCTTGCTTTTTTTTTTTTTTTTTGAAAGCAGACAGTAGACCGAATTTGAACCCCACTGCTTGGCAGCTTTTGCATGAGCATGACAACATGAAGGGCTCACTATGGCGAGGTCACTAGGGCTGTGGCTTAATCAATGTATTGTCCCTGGTGTCACTTCCCCTTTGAAGTAGTGCCACATTCACCACTTCTGCTTGCTTCCTCTATGGTTCCCTGTGCTGTAGTCAGCTTCATGTCACACCTGAAACACTGGATTTGTTGGTTCTCTTGGTTTGTTTCATTAGCTTTCGGTGTTAGAAGTAGAGCCAAGGAAGACCTTGCCACTAGCTTCTCTGCCAAGTAACAACTTGGAACGTGTTTACCCCAGTGATAGGCAACCTGTTTGTATTTTCACTGACTGAAGTTTGAATGTACTGGGTAGGTGAGGATACAGTGGCAGACATGAGAAACATGGTCTCATCCTGTGGGGGTTTAGAGTCAGTAAAATGGTAAACACACTTTAAATAGTCATTCTCCAGTTTTTCTGAGTCCAAATATGTAATGCCCTTTCCAGGACTAGTTAGGACACCAGTTCCCTGTTTATCACGTAGGTGTCTAGCAATTCTAATAAATTCTGACACTAACTGCCTGGAGTTAGATGTGCCAAGATTTAATGCTTCAGTGGCACAGGGTTGTCTTCACTGTGAATGCCAATCATAAACCAGACACAGTTGCTACTTACACTTCTGTCCACTTGGCTACAAATTCAGAGGTCCCCATGACCACCTAACATGTTCTATAATTCTCTAAAATGACTCAAAGAACTGAAGAAAATTTCTTTTTTTCTTTTCTACATATGACAGTTTATTACAAAGTCTGCAGCTGAAGAACAGCCAAATGGAAGGGATGCATAGGGTGTCTGTGATGGAAGTGAGGAGTGGTAGATTCTAAGCCCTGTCCAGATCCAATACTTTCCAAGCACATTGTTGGCCAAGTGTCTTATCCAAACCAGAAAATCCTGCAGCCCTGTTCTTTGGAGCTGGGAGGGATGTAAGTCACGATTGATTAGATCATTGACTGCTGTGATTGTGCTGGATCTCAAGCCCTTTTCCCTTCCCCCAGTCAAGGGATGAGGTTTGAAAGTTACAAACCTCTCATCACCTTATGGATCTGTTTGGCAACTGCCTTCGTCCTGCAGCTGTCTAGTGGTCCCCAGCCACTCTTCACCTCGGCATACAAAAGACTGTTACTCAGGAGGCTTTAGGAGCTCTGCTTTAAACTTGGAATAAAGGCCAACTGAATGGGTATGGAGGTGTCATTCACCAAAATAAAGAGCAATAAATAAGGAACAGATTTAAAGCTAGAGGGTTCATTGTTGGAGTTAGAGATGTTTGCATAACCTATAGAAAAAAGATGTTTAGTAAAGTTCACAGATTAAAAAATTTTAACTATTAATCTAAAATGCTTCCTTGTTTGTATGCAGGAAGAAAAAAATGGGTTCTGTGATTTCCAGCATTTTCAAATTAAATCCAAATTCAAATAGGGGAGCTTTTCCATATTTAAATTATTGCATCTTGAACTCTCCAGTTATCAGTTTGTGATTACTTATATTATTGCCTGGTTGGTGCCAACTGGATATTTTTCTTCCTAGATAGTTTTCAGTGTTAGAATAGATTTTACCCCTTAACATAACGTAGAAGCAATAAATTCACCTGTAAATTATGACAACTACTTCCACAGTCAAGATCTAGAGCAGTATTATTGTCACCATTAGCAGTCTCCCATGTTTCTCAATGATCAGTATCTCTCCCTAAATCCCTGGCAACCACTGATCCGTATTGAGTTCATTTTTATATGTGGTCTAAAATATGAGTTAAGGTTCATTATTTGCATATGACTATCAACTGAATTACCTTTATACCTTATTCTAAAACAGTGACCATGTATGTATGGGTCTATTTCTGAACATTGCATTATCTTTTATTAACCTAGCTATCCTGTCTCCAAAATATAGTTAAACTTGGTAATCAGGTTTTGTGAGTCCTCAAACTGTTTTTTCTAAAGTTTGACTGTTTTTTTTAACTTCATTTTACAGTTTGAAGTAAACTTGTTTTTTTACAAAAACAAAACAAAACAAAAACTTCTGGAGTTTTATTGAGTTTATGTTAAATCTGTTGGTCACTTTGGGAAAAGTATTGACCATTATTAAATCATTCTAATCCATAAAAATGGCATATTTCTTAGTCTTCTTTGAATTACTTCATCCATGCTTTTTAATTTTCAACACACAAATCTTACATTTTTTAAATGTAATATCATTTAATGACACAGTTTCATAGGTTCTGGGATTCCTCCAACCCCTCCCCATACCCACTCCCCCCATGTTGGACTCCTCCACGTTGTTGCAGTAGTACAGTTCAAATCCAGCCATGGTTCTTTCATTGCAAGCATGTACCATGCATAGAGTCCAGCATCTTATTGTCCAGATAAATTCAGCAGTTTCTTGGGGAGACCATCCCAGGTCTGAAAGTAGAGCTGGCAGAATATCATCCCATCCAATGAAAAACCACAACATAACATCGACAACAATTTACATCATGGAGTTAATTGACATGGTATTGAGTGACCAATATGTTAGAAAATGCAAGTTCTTAACCACATCCTGTGCCACCTTCATTGACATTTCAGTTTTAGTTTGTATACAACCGGCTGCTATACACCTTAGAATGTTTATAAGGTACTCTTTAGCTCTCTCATATCTATTTTCATTTTTATATTTAGCAGTTGATAGTATTAAATCATAATTCTTACTGAACTTGGCGAATTTTAGGAAACAAGGCATATGTTAACAATTGAGGTGCAGAACAGTTTTAGGAGGGGTGTGCAGAGAAATCTTCAATACCTTAGTCAGAAGTAACTAATCTTTGTGTCCTACCTAGTAAGGTATATGTGAGTCCAAGCTGACTGTTTCCTGTCTGGTTCTAAGCTTTCTTTATTGGTCTCCGTCTATCTGATCTAATTTATTTTGAGAGGGGAGCTCCATCGTGACCGTGATGATCAGTATATATGAGCAATAATGCTCATGTTTGTAGACTACCAACAAGTTTACATAAGCTTACTCACTCAGCCTGCTTCCCTCTGGAATTGGGACTTTATGCTTTACAAGCAGGAAAAATTATCTAAATTGCTCTCCCACCTAAAATATGCGTCCTCCCTCCCCATCTTACCACAGCTTGATGTGATACTTTGGATCTACAGGACAGACCTCCTAAGTCTGTAGGATTCACTGGCCGCTTCAGCTGCATAAATACCCACAGGTGAAATACATAGTGGAAGCTAATTCTGACTGAGGTTCTCAACATTCTGTTACATCTCCCAACAAATTTTATTCACTTATATTGCTATCATTAAATAATTTAAATTTCATCTTTCATTATTCCTTTCCTAAATTAATAATAACAAATAACCACCTTCCTTGGAACTGATTAGCATGAGAAGATATTAGCTCACTATTAATATTTTTTAAAACCATAGTCACTGGTCCACAGGTAAGTTGATATAAATCCAATGAAAAGTAACATAAGATGTATTAAACTTCAGCAGCCTAAACATTATTAGCAAAATATGAGGTATTATTAGCAAAATTTGAAGTTCTTGAGAGCAAGTAATGAGCTAGGACTTGTTATATACCAGAAACACTTAAGTTGTTGTTCCTTTTGACTTCAAAAAATAAGAGCATTTAGACATTTATTAATAAGCTGTATAACATATTGCACACATATTCAGCCAGTACAAGTAAGAGACAGGGTTTTTACTTTTTCTCTAAGGGTTAAATATCTGAAGAACAAGTCATTTTCCCTCTCATCCTTGAATAATCACAGAAGGAGAGAATTAAAGAGATAAGGTGATCTGTTTCTTAGGACATGGGCTTGTTTGTTTATAGTTGTCTAAGAAAATGTTTTGTCTTTTTGGGTAGATTTATAAATAATATGAGAGGGTGGTATTTGCAACTTGCAAGTAATTGTAAATTATGTTTGTTTATACTCACTAGTCACAGTTTTCTATTAACCATTACAGATTGCATATTTATTTTGAATTCCAACTATAAAATGGAGATATGGGTTACATACCATTTAATGAAATAAGAACTCAGTGTTAATGCTTTATTTTCATTTGTCATGTTAATAGAGTATGAACTCCCTGATATAAC